AAATAGAATTAAGCAATACATAGTTTTGACTAACTTTAGCAGTCAGTTGAATTGATAACAAAAGAAAATTTTAAAAAATTCGAGTCCATATTTTTACATCATTCTTGCAAATTGAAAAAATCAATTATGCAATTTTAGTTAGCATAGTTAAATGAATAAATCTTGCAACAGTGCCAGAATAAAATGCTTACCCGAAAAAAGAGTCATCGTCAAAATCATGCATAAATCCTCTAAACAGCGACATGACTAAATAATTAGTTTCCAAGCAAATAAATTGAGGATACCTTGTTCTCAACAAATTGATTGTGCCAACAATGGCGAACTCAATGGAAGAGCAGAAAGTTGTGACGTAACAACGATATTAGTCTAAAAGCTAAACATAGTGTTTAATTTTACTCAGGAATTTCTGCGCTCGAATTTTCCAGAACATTGGCATGCGCTCTATTGTTACTATATTATCTGTTACTAATTCAATATGGAAGAATTGTTAAGTCAAGTTGTAACTCATTCTAATAGTTTTTTAGAAATAAAAAAGGCGGCTAAAGAAGCTGTCGGTAATATATTTAAAATTTGATATACTCTTTTATTGCTTCCAGTCTCAATAAAGTCTTTTTTTAATAAAATCGCTGTTTTTTTTTTTATTATTTAACTTCGTTAATGTATTTTGTGAATTAGTCAAATGAATCGTACAGTATTTCGTTACATTTGATAATTGTATTCGTTTTTTTTATTTTTTTTACTACAAAATAGCTAATTATTGTTAATTTTTCAAAGTATGTTTTAAAATTGAAAATTCATTGTAAAAAAAAATTATATTTTTAAAAATTTTAGATTTTTTAGTTACTCAACAAGGGTTAATAAGGGACCCTGCTTATGAATTAAGAGAGAAATGTCTATTTCCTCTGCAATTATGTTTAGAAACGAAAAAAAACAAAATGATAGCTCTTGCTGTTGCGGGTTTTCAAAAAATAATCAAAGATGACCGGTTTCATTCGTATGTTGAACCTGAAGACGATACCAAATGGTTACTTCAGCAGTTATTATGTTCAACTAGGTGCTTTTTTTCTTTACCCTATGATACACAAGTGGATATTCTTAAGGTACATTTTTTTTTTTTTTTGTGGCAATAATGAAAAATTTTCACCAGGAACAAAAACCAACGTTAAATCATTTGCTTATATGATATTAGAAATTTACATAAAAGGTATATGTCAAAACTGTACAATAAACCATCATATTAGATAAAGAAAATTGAAAAATTTTTAGGTATTTTTAAATGTAGCAAGCTCACACAAGTGGTCTTTGAATGGAAGGACTATTATTGCAGTTATTGGTTTATTCAGTGATGCTTTTGATTCTAAAAATGTTGCAATTAAAACAGTAGCTCAAGCAGCTGCTTGCCAATACATATGTACATACTGTTATTCTGTTAAAAAAAAATATGAAGAAGATAAAAATGTTCTTTATTTTAACGAGTTACTTCCAATCATGCAATTTATTTGTTGTAAAATAAAAGAAATCGACTGGTAAGCCAATTTTTGGTAAAAAGTTTTAATTTGTGAAATTATTATGTAAATTAAAATAATTTTTTTCTTAAATCTAGTCAAAATCAATGTGACAAAAAGACTTTGTTTTATCTTGAAAATCTTCTTACCCTTTGTCGTAATCTTCCACCGGCTATTTCTTTGAATAACTTCATTAAAATTTTTTTTTGGCAAAAACTTGCTCCAGCATTAATTTCACTTTTTGGAACTCCTGAGGTAGATAAGAGTTTAAACAGCAAAAACATAAATACTGATGAACAAACTGTTAAAAATTCCACCAGTTTTATTAGCAATTATGCCAAAATTGTATTTAGGTATGTTTTAATATAAAAAAGTTGTACCTAAATAATATTTGAAATAATGTAAAAAATTTTGACTTTCAGTATTTACATTGAGTTGATTCGTTTATTTGCAAGTGTAGCTTCTCTTAGACCAGTATTAGAATCATTACTTTATAGGATTTTAAAATATTCAACTCCTGAGTATCGCTTGGATGCTTTAAAAGGAGTTGGACAACTTATCCAAAAACCAGATAGACTCCTTGATATCAGTGGCCCATTATATGATGATGAAAATAATCAACCTTTTTCTGATTTATCACTTCTTTTATTGTAAGTAGTAAGTTATTTTACTTTTGGCTTCTTGTTTTATTCAAAGGAAATATTCAAAAAATGGCCTTGAAAATTTTGTTTTTAGAATAATGAATTCAATTGAAGACAGTTGTAAATCAAATTTTAATTTAATACAAGCTTGTATACTTTGTTGTTATAATTTTCTAAAAGCAGTTGAGGAATTTTCTATAGGAAAATGTATTCCCGAGAAAATTGCAGTAAAAATTTGTGAAATGTATCCGAAATTAGAAGACTTGGACTTTAGTGATTTATCAAACTTTAAAAATTTAAATAAAGAATATTTGGAAAATTATTTAGAAGTTGACGATCCATTTAATTTTGTTAAAACTTTTGAAAACACGTCTAAATCCGTTAATTTTAAATTTAAAATATTCGATAGGAGAAATTCATTTGACAAAATCGTAAGTTTTAAAAAAAAAAAATATTTATTACAAATTTTTTAAAATTTTTTTTTGTACAAAATAAAATTTTAATTTCAGAAAAAAAATAAAAAAAAAGATTTACAAATAAGTTTGCACGGGAATAAGAATTCATGCGTTCTTCAAAATATTCAGTTAAACGTCCCTCATTTCAGTTATGATATAAAAGAAAGAAAAAGTGCCAGCCATTTTATATCAGCTCTTGATGTTCTTCTACCACAATTGGTTCACATAAAAAGCAGTACTCAAATTGATCAAGTTTTACAAAGTTTTGCTTCTCGTTATTGTGAAGGTAAAACACGACTTAATTTCAACGTTTGATTATTATTATTATTGTATGATTTAATTTATGTATTTTTTTTTTTTTTTTTTTATTAATTTGATTGAAGATATTATAAACGAACATGGAGAAAGTACAATTCATATAATAAGTGCTGATGGATTTTACTTGGTCACGTATTTGACGCTGATTATCAATTTGGAAATGTTTCATTCTTATTGTTATTCATTTTCGGAATTAAAAAATACCATCAGTGAAGTAAGTTTATTAGCAAAAGTAATCGTCGTGTAAAATTTTTTTCACGAGTTATTTTTTACAGGATTATTTTTTAAAGAAAGCGGAAAGTATCGGTGTGACCGCTTATTTTACAAATGTTTGGTTAAGGGAATTATTTCAACTAATATCAATTTCTTGTTTCTTACAAACTCATGGTTTTCTTTCTACTAACTTTAATTCACAACCGCACGCTCTTATTAATTTATTGACAGGTATTTATTTTGTGGTGTACTAATGGCTCCTGACTTCCTGCTTCCTGCTGCTTTTTTTTTTTGAATTTCCTTTTTACCTTTTGCTTCTTTTTTTTTTCTTTTTTAATTTTCAACCATTAAAAATTAATTGAAAATGTATTTCTGGTTGTGAGGTAAAAAAAAAAAAACAATCTCATATTTTAATTTGAAACCTTCAAAATTTTTCAATCAATCAAAATCAGGTTTAAAAATCATTTTTTTTGTCTATTATTTTTAATGTCTGATTGCATGAGTTATCAGTCTACTGTTATTATTATCTATATATACTGGATACTGTTGTAAAAAAAAATTCTTCTTTTCATCTGTTACCTTCGTTTGAAACCAAAAAAAAATTTTTTATTTCTATTTTAAAAGTTTGTGTTCCGCTTTTGGTGTTCTTTCGAATAATTAATTATTTTAAAATTTTTTCATTTAGATATTGAAGGTGTAGATTTTTGTCATAATGGAAGTCAAATGTTATGGGCATGCAGACGTTTAGAAAATTCCCTTACTTTAAACGACGATAATTTCGAAAGGAAAGCAGGGCTACGATTAAGCAGAGGGATTTTGATGTGCTGTTTAGACTCGGTTCTTAAAATTTTAGCCGTGCCCCTAAATCAAAGCATACGTAAAAAGGAAAATTTTAAAAATTTAAGGTTTTTAAAAAAGGTTTCTCATTACAAAGAAAATAAAGAATTAATCACGTACAGTATTGACGGATTACAAATATTGGTGCGATTGTGTAACGATTTAGGTAATTATCATCTTAATTTAGGATTTAAAAAAAAAAAAAAAAAAATGTTTTTCACGATAAATTTTTGGATTAAATTAAAATTTTTTTAGGTATGCAAGACAAATCGGAAACCATCGTGGAACTGTTGACATCGGTCGCCTGTTCCGATCATTATGACGTGAAATTGCGCTTAATGCGGTTTGACATAACTAACGACAGCGTCGTTTATCTCACATCATCTCACGCTCTCACGTTAGACCTACTATTGAGCTTCGGTTTGGAATTAGGTTCGCACTGTTCTAATTCGTGGCCTCACATTTTTCGCTGTTGCACTTACGTCAAAAAATTAGAACATAAATATTTCAGTCAATTGAAAAATAGAGACTCGGAACTGAGGACAAAAATTATTAAAAAAGATGATAATTGGAGTGTTGTTGTAAATGATTTAAATTTTGATTTCAAATGCGAAGAGGAAACAAAGTAACAAAAAAATTTATTATTATTATTATTATTATTATTATTATTATTATTTTAGTGATTTTTTTTAAATCTAAAAAATATTTTTTTTTTTTTTTTTTTTTTTAGCGTGGATGTTTATAAATTTTTACTTTCTCAAGGTGCGCAACAAAGTATAACGGAAATACTAAGTGAAAATAATAATTTGAATGATTTTTTAAATGGCTCAGAAACGACAAAAGTAATTTCGATTCTCTCACAACGAGTTGACAAACTTTTTGAAAATGCAGCTTCCAAACTTAATTTAAAGTCATTGGAAAGTTTTTCATTAGCTCTTTGTTGTTTAAGTCAAGCACAACTTTTTTTCGAATCTTCAAAGTCTGATAATTCTTTTAAACAATATTGGTGGCACAGATTTACAACTAACAAAAACATTTTCGATGAAAGTGATACGATTAACGATTCTCTACTTTTGGATTCTGTGGGTGAAATCATGATAAAGTGCATAAAGAGCGGTCGTCCAATATTTCACGTAATGAGGATTTGGGGTATAATCGGTCCACATCTCATGGAAGCCTCTTGCCACAAAGATATAACAATATCCCGAAAGGCTGTTAAACTCATTCACGATGTTATAAACATTTCTTTAACTGAACACACCGAACTTCCACATTTCTACGTAAATGAAAGTTTATTCAAACCTTTTGAAAGCTTATTAGGATTGGAATTATGTGAACCAGATATTCAAGATCAAATAGTTAGTTGCATATGTGAATTCGTCGAGGCAAATTTCAGTGAAATTCGTTCGGGATGGCGACCGTTATTTGGCGCATTACGCGCAATTACTTTAAATTCTAATATTCTATTATACGTGTTTAAAGTTTTTTTGGAAACGGGCAACGTTTTAGTTTTTTCTTATGCTGCTGTTGATTACGTCATGTGCCTTTTAAAACATCTTCGAGTACAAACGTGCTGTAATGATAATTCAGAAATTGCTTTTGAAATAATTAAATACCTTAAAAGTTATCAAGAAATTTTATCTTCCCTTTACCTTATACCTGGTAATACCGCAGTTTTTCAATTTGCTCATTACATACAAGTTTCAGGTAATTTTTTTTTTTTTTATATTATTTGTTGCTTAAACGTATAATTTTTTATTTAATAATTGCATATTTATATTTTTTTTTTGCAGATGGATTATTAGTGGATCCGTATATTCCAGATATAGAAGATTATGGATACATTCTCGAAAAATTGATGATCGGTGACGAAAACATTTTATTTATAAGACCAGATTCGCCTAAATGTGACACGTCTTTAAACGCTATTGATCACTCAAGTGGAATACTTAAAGTTTGGTTTTTATTATTGGAAGGAACGTATTCTGCAGCAATATCAGCAACTTCATCCATTCAATCATTTTTATTAAATATGTTTTACGCAGATTTACTCAAATTGATTGAAAATCCAGGTAAGTGTTTATGTAATTTTATTTTAATTTAATTTTGTTTTTGAAATGTTAACCGTATTTGTGGCATTACAGGTTCTATTTTTGGTTTAATCGTTCTCAATCGAATAGTACTTCCAATGACGCAATCCTGGCTGAGGCAAACTTCGAAAATTGAAAAATCTGAGATTTCCGGTTTGAAACAATCCATAGGTTTACTCACGGATTTATTTCTTCAGTATTTTAATCGCCTCAAAAATGAGAAAATTTGCGAGGACTTGTTAAATTTGTTAGTAAATCAAGTTTTATTATTGCTTTCGGAATGTAGTTTTCATTACATTTCCACAATTGCAACTTTTGGTCCTGCTTGTATAAGGTAATTATTTATTTTTACATTTTTTATTTTAATAGTAAATTTTAAGTAATTTTTTAATTTTTCTATTTAGGCATATTGTGATAAATGTCGGAGAAAATTTCAATTGTCATCAATGGAATTGTGTTATAATATCTCTACAAAGAATTTGTAAAATATCTTTAGGAATCCTGCTGAAACTTATTATGGCATTTTCGGAAAATTCGGAATATGAAAATGATTGTCAGGTTAGTTGAAAGATTTTAAATGAAAATTTTATTATCAATTTTTTTTTTTTTTATCATTGTTAATTAATTTTTTTATTCAGGTTAAAATTGTAGTGAACGATACGGATAATCCGGATGTACAAAATTTGATTCAACTTTCTCAGAGAGTTTTTAGCAAGAATAATAATAATAATAATAATAAAAAAGTAGATTTCGTTTTTCTATCTGATTTAAATGATGATGATGATGATGATGATGATGATGATGATAAAAAGGAACAAATTTTTGTTATTCGAAATGAGGAAGAAGATAAAATGATTTCTTTTAATTTATTTGTCAATTCGATGCAGTCTCATCATTCGATATTGGAAATAATTGCTCTTATTTTACTTGAAAAAATTGGACCCGGAAAAATAAAGTATAAAAACAAAAACAAAAAAAAAATTTGAATTTGAATTGAAATTGTATTTGAAATAAATATAATTTTTTTTTTCAGGGCAGAAAATATTTTAATTAACAGCATGTTTAATACGATAAACAAAGTAAATGACCAAGATAAAAGTAAAACGCATGGAAGTTTGTCTTGTTTGTCTTGTAACGACATTTTAACTCTTTTGTCTTGCTTGGATTTTTCATATTATTTGTCTTTAGCTTTTGATTCTTCCTCCGAGTTAAAATTTGCAATTAAAAAAGTGACAAAATTAGAACAAGATGTCACTTTACATCGACAGGGTGTAGCTGCCGCGACGATAAAATTAACTTTTTTACTAGAACATTGTATTGCTCTTATCGAAAAGCATGGCGTGAAAGGAGATGATTTAATAAAATTAATAAATAATAATTCGAAAAATGATGATGATGATGATACATTTTCCGACCATCTTATTTTTTATTGTAAAAAATTACAAAAAAGTATAAGCGTTTTATGTAAAACGTGCGTCGAATTTGCACTCAACAAGAAAAGTGTCAACACTTGCATGTTGAATAAAGAATTTTTATTTAAAACTTACGCATCAGGTTGTGTAATGGATGAAAGTAATAAACTCGATCGTGACAATGACCGGAAACGTTTTCCCGAGGAAAATCATGTCGTTTCCGGTTCTTTTCCTTCGAATGATTTCACAGAGGATGAAAATTGTATTGAAATTAATAAAAATGAAAAGGAAACACAGACGGAATTGAAAACTAATGGTGATAATTATTGTGTTAAAATAATTTTTATTAACGAACGTTAATTTATTATTTTGTTAATTTATTTTATATTTTAATAATTTTTTTTTTTTTTCTTAATTACAGATGGTGGATTCGATAAATATGATGAGGAAAAAAGTTTTGAAAATTTTCAAAAAGAAAATGATTTTTCTTCTGCTCCAGAGATTAAAAATCACGACGACGGATTCGACGACGGATTTATAACGGTAAGAATATTTTTTTTTTTTTAAATATTTTTTTCTTTTTTTCCCCGCGTGTTTATTTTAAAAAAAAAAAAAAAAGGAAAGAGAAAAAAAAACAAATAATAATAATAATAATAAATTTACGTGCGCGTTTTCTAAATTTAAAAAAAAAAAAGAAAAGAAAATTTATTTTGTTCGAATGCAGTTTTGTAATTTAAAAAAATAAAACGACATTGTTGTTTTTTGACATCCATCATTAGAATGACTAAGTAGAAGAGGAGGTTGTTGAAATCTAGCTAACACTAATTGGTTCTTATTAATAAAATACATCATAATGTCATTGTGTATAATTCGGGTATAATATATTTGTCAAAAATGAAAAATGGTCCCCATGCGTTTCACAATTCTTCATTTGTTAATGAGGTGGTTTACGCCGAATTAACCTCTCTAGGTGGGGCGAATATAAAATAATTGACTCTTGTTTCGTTCAAATTAGTTTTCAACCCCTGGGTTATGTAAGATTTTAATTTATTATATTAATGGATCTTAACCTTTTCTCTCTCTCTCTTTCTCTCTCTCACAAAACGTCAACAGGAAAATGAAGGACATCATCATAGTCATCAAATGTGTATGGAAATCTTATACGACTTTTTAGAAAGTTTGCTATGCTTAAACGATTTGGATTTTCAAATGATATTTCCACTCGTATATAACGAAACGGAAAATTTTTATACGATTTATTTTTTTCAACCTTCATTGCAATCAGTCATATCAAAAATACTACAAAGAATCAACGTAATGAATGATTCCAATGACGTCATTGAAAACTTTTAAATAAGTGAGTAAAACGTTTTTTTTTTTTTTTTTTACTCTATCTTATTTAAATTTGGGTTTGATTATCGTTTTACCGAGTATTTATTATATACCCCTCGTCGTCGACATTGTTAAAGGTTTTTAATAATAGTTATTATTATTATTTTTATGTAAAAATAAATTATATTTTCCGGAAAAATCGTTTGATTACAATTAAAGCTATTTAAAAAATTTTCATTGTCGTTTTTAAAGTTTTTTTTTTTTTTTTTTTTTTACAGATTTTAAATGTCTCGAAATAATTTGACAATTAATTATTTATAAATATTAAATTAATAATTATTTATGCTAATAAACTAATTTAAAAAAAAAAAAATGTTGTAAAATGTTTACGTTGTTGTCAAATGTCTGTCTGTGTGTCGACATTTTCATTTTTTTTTTTTTTTTATTATTAAGGAAAACATGTTGGAAAATGCGTGCGTGAGCAGTAATGTTTCGCTTTTCTTTTTTTTTTTTTTATTAGTTTACAATAAAAATGAGTAAAATTAAGATTTATTTAAAAAGTGTGGAAAACAATTATTGTTCCAATATGTTGTGGCCTAAAAGTGCGTTTACCGCGAAGAAACCGCAAATTTTTTTTTTTTTTTTTTTTTTTGCAATTATTTTATGCACCAACGTCGAGTTCCTGAATAAAATGAAAATTTTTTCCTTTCAGGACTTTCTCGTTTATATTTGTCTTTGATAACTTAAGACCGTTTTTTTGTTCTAATGTATCTAAAAAGTTTTTAAAGTTTAGGTTTAAATAAACTCCAGTCTTTCCCGACAAAAGAGAAAGAGGAGGAAAAACAAATGAATCACATAAAAACTTCACCGTTAATAACAAAAATTTAACGTTTTAAAAAATGTCAATTATTATTATTATTTAATTAGGTTTGGATTATTCACTTTATTGCACTGTAAATTAATTGTAATCCAGGTTGAATCAATAAGGTCTCCAAACGGATGGATCCCCTTGTCTATCATTGTGTGTAAACCTATCATCTTCGCTCATCAAGCCACCCTGATTATTATGTACTATTCCTATTTCTATGCTACTCCGCGTACCTGAACTAATAGTTAGATTATTGGAATTTGCTACTATCGTAGCTGCAAGTTCTTCTCCACTACATTGCAATGATTCTGCAGCTTTATCACCGTGCAAATGTAAATGTATTTGATTTTGATTAACCGTTGAATAAAGATGAGGATATAAAACAACGGAGGGTGTAGGATTCAAATATGGAGTTTGGGATGTAGCACCAGAAGGGGAATTATAATAATTTGGGTAACTTTGATAATTGTTTGTGCTCCAACCGGTGTGGTAACTGCTTTGGCAAGAACCGCTCGAATAACTTCCATCGTACCTTTAATATAAAAAATAATTTTTATATTTTATTTGTTTAAAAAAATTAAAAATTTGAAAAAAAAATAAATAACCTTAGCTGTGATGACATGACGGTACCACCTGATGATATATTAGAATTATTGCCTGTTTGAACAAGAGTATTTCCGCAAGGCAAAATTTCGGATTCTGGTTTCATCGATCCATAAACGTAATCCCCTCCAGTTTGTTGCATAGAAGAACCAGGTGTATGTTCTGGTAAAACTAAAAATATAATTACGGACATATAAACACGTTTGTTTGTTTTTATGTCGATTGAAATTAATTTAATTTACCTGAAGACAAATGACCAATGGATGACGTCGCTGAGGATTCAAGAGAATTGTAATCATTAGAATAATTGTAACCGGTAGGCGAAGTATATGTTGGATATCCGGATGAAGAATAACCCCAAGCGGGTTCTGTTGTTCCTGTTGTTGCACAATTTACACTCGAATCCGTACCTTATGTATTTGATAAAAAGAAAAAAATTAATCTTTATATATTTTAAATAGTTTTATTTATTTTTTGCTACCGTAAATAAGTATAATTATTTTAACGGGAAATATTTAAAATAAATTTTTTATTTTTTTTATAAAAAAAAAAGCCTACAGGCTTGATAAAAGTAACCTGGAAGGTTTTTTAAAAAAGTAGTTTAAATGGTATCGTTTTAAATTGTTACTATAATTTTTTTTACACTTTTTCTCAGGTTATTATTTATAGTTGTTTTTAAAAAAGGATTTGATTGGTTGATATAAACAGTGAGAGAGCATTAAAAAAAAAAATGTTAGATTTACACATCATTTCATATTTGGATTTCGAAAATTTTTTTTTTTTTTTTTCATAAATTTATGAGAGTATTTTACGGTTGAGAAAACATTTATAATTATTACTGCGGATTTTAATATATGCGAATTTAAGGTTTTCGAAAATGGGATTCCCCTTTTTTTTAAGGGGGAAAATTATAATATTATTATCAGTAGTTTTATTAAAATTTATATAAATGTTAACACGAGTGTAATAATATGACGGTGGAAAAAATTGTTTTTTTTTTCTTCCCTGTGATTTAAAAAAAATTGCCTAATCATTAATACCAGACCTTGTAAAGAAGACAAAATGAATTTAGAAAGAAATGTTCAATTCAATAAACCTCGTTATATACCTGATTTTTTAAAAACTACCTGAGTAATAAAAAAACCTCGGTAAAATTTCATTCATATTTTTTCCTTCTTTTTGTTTTGGAATCATTTTTACGTTTTTTTTATTATTATTATTATATAATATTGACGAGTTTAATGCAAATTTTCTTATATATTGAAATATTAATAATAATAATAATAATAATAATAATAATAATAATAATTTAAAAATTAACGAATTTATTTAATTTTACTTGCGTGTATTTTTTTAATTTTTTATTGTTACACTAATTATACTTTTTGGTTTCGTTTTTTTTTAATATTATTATTTTATAACAAAAGAAAATAACGTTTAAAATAATAATAATAATAATAATATCTATTGTCGTTAAATATAAAGAAAAGTTTTTAAAGTCGCGTGTTAACATATTAAAAAGAAAACAAAACAAAAAAATGTTTTGTGTTTAAATAACAACAAAACCGTAAACGATATGTTTTAAAAATTTTCATTCTTTTCAGGAGGGGGAGAAGGGGGAAGGGGGGTTTCAAAAATTATATATATGATGAATGCTAACAAAAAAAAAAACCATATGCGTAATGTAAAAAAATGTTTTCGTGTAAAAGGAAAATTTTCTTCTTTTTTTTTTTAAAATAATAATAATTATCGTGTAAGGAATAAAAGGCGATTTTTATTTATTTAATTTTTTATTGATAAGAGGAAAAATAATTCGAATTGATAAGAAAAGAAAATTTAAAAAAAAAAATGGTGAATTGTTAACAAAATATGTTTGTTACATTTAAAAAAAAATATTTTTTCAGGACATCAATGGGGGATGACGATGATAAGAAGTTGGATGGAAAAATAGAGAGAGAGAGAGAGAGAGAGAGAGAGAGAGAGGTATATACGAAAGTAAAGTGAAAGAAGAAAGCGATCTTGCGGTTAACAAATTCAACCACCGGGAATACAAGAAGAGCGCAGACTCCGAGGAATGTTCGCCAACCACAAATTGACCGCAGAAATATACTATTTGTCGACATACTGACAAGGGCTGTATTCCTGAAGGTAGGGACGCCTTTTTTTCTTTTTTTTTTCCTTTTTTTTTTTTTTTTTATTTTTCTACAGACTAATGGAATTGCGGTTTTCTGATCGACCGCAAAATTCGAGATTCAATGCGCGAGCTCAGTATTTTGATTTTATCCCTCCCATACATCCCCTATTAATTCCTCCCTCGATAAGGTCATCCTTACGTGTCTTAGTATCGAAAAAGGAGTGTGATTGAGTGGGTGGGGGAATGGGGGGCGCAATTTAAATAAATTATTATTAATCCTTTTAACCGATAAAATTTGTTACATTAAATTTTCAGTTTTTTTTTTTTTTTTTTTCTACTTGACTTAAATGCATTCTTATTTGTAAACATGACGTCACTTAATTTATTTTGTGTTTTGTAATTGGTGGTGGTGGTGGGGGGTGACTTTTTCCTTATTTAAATATTCATTATCGAAATCTATCGCCTTAAAAATTAAATCTTAACTAAACATAAACGCATTTATTATCTTACACACGCACACACACACACACACACACACACACACACACACACACACATAAAAAGAAAGAAAAGGCCAACAATAATTCGAAATTGTTTTTAATTTCCCAGTTCGAAACCATTGAAATATAATAATAATAATAATAATAATAATAATAATAATATTTTTATGTGAGTGGCAAAATGATGGTGAAATTATCAAGTGAACCGATATAAAATCTATTTTTGCCATTTATTGTATTCATTCAACCGGCAAATATTGAATTTTTTTTTTTTTTATGTTTAGATTTCAAATCTGATTCAATGGAAAAAACATAATTACACGTTTTCACACTTCCATTCTTTTAAATTACTCTGAGATTTTTTTTTTTTTTTTAATAGGTGTTATTATAATCGTAATAAGGTATACTTTCCTCATAATAATAATAATAATAATAAAATACAAAGAGGAAAAAAAACATAAACTGGTAGCATGTTAGTGAGGTTTACAAGATTTTTTTTTCTTTTTTTTGTTACTGGACATTTAATCCTGTAGGAATTGAAAGATTAAATCATAGTTTTTTACACACGACTTGTATTTTTTTTTTTCCCCTAAAATTTGATGACATTGTTTATAATAAGGATGTTTTGTTGTTGTTTTTGTTGTTTTAAATACTTATTTATTTCAATTTAAAAGTGTTAAGTAAACGTGATAACCGAATGAAAACCGCAGCGACCAAAACCGTAATAAATACAGTAGTAGTTCTTGAGGTTAACAAAAAAAAAAAAAAATTTTATTTTTTTATCGGCGAAATAATCGCATTAGTTGTAGAGAAATCTTTTTTTTTTTTTTTTTGTAGTTATGAACGTGAAAATATTGGACCGAAAATACACCTAAGTTTCCGGTCAGAGAACCGCAGATCAAGGGGTTAAAACATATTTTTTTTATTATTATTATTGAAAAGCCTAAAAATTTTATTTATAAATTAATCGTTTTTTTTTTTTTTGTTTTTCGATAACAATTAATGATGATGATAATGTTTAAATTATTTTTTTTATTATAAGAAGAAAAAAATATAGAATAGTTAGTTAGTGAAAAAAGTTTTTAGTTTACTATTGGCAACACTTAAATTGGGAAAACAAACAAAAAAAGTGTCACGGACAGAAATGAGTTAATTACAAAATAACAACAACAATTTAGAGTTAAACAAGAGTGAGATTATAATTAAGGAACGTCAAATGCATCCCTTTATCAAACCTCAACGAACCTCCCCACGCATCACCCCCCCCCCCGTTCGTGTCAAAATAAATATCGACTCGCTAAACCTTTTCACTCAACCACTTCAATTTTTCTTCTTAAAAATTTTTATTTTATACAATTTTCTTACAAAAAAATTTAGTTTTTTTTTTTTGGGGGGGGGACCCGGTGGGGATATTTTACTATTTTTTGTTACTGCCATAAACTCTCGTGTTTTAACAAGAAAATTTTATTATTATTATTATTTGAGTCACGGGTATATTTTTTTTTTACGAAAAAGTTATTAAAAAGAAAAACGTCGTTAATAATTTTAGTTGCAAAATTTTATTATTATTATTATTATTGGAAATGGGGGGTTAAATATTTTAACCGTTTCCAATTCGTTTTTAATTTATGAATGAATTTGTGTAAAAAAAAATTTTTTTTTTCCATTCGGTCCGCCGCCAAAGGAAAAAAAGCCGCGCGTAGGTAGAAAAAAAGGATTTATATGTTAAACAAGGGGGGGGCGGGGGTGGGGGAAGGGAAATACGATTAACTACTCACCTTGGATTGGGGTTGATGACGTAGGCACTTTATAAGAACTCGAAGATTCTGTTTTTCGCCTAAACGATTCCAATTCTCGTAGATGACTCGTAAATGGTGAATCCAAAAAAGGTCTTTGACCTATGGCAAGTGCGCGAAATTGCTGTTGGTGTCCTGTAAATTTTTTATTTTATTTTTATTTTTTACTCGAAATTTAAAAATGATCCATTTTCCACCCCCACCCCACACTTTTCCTATCCACCCTTCGTAACGACGAAATGACGAAATTTTTAACGAAATCTTTTCATCACTCACACACGCAAAAAAATTTTTTTTTAAACCAAAGTTTTATTAAAAGAAAAGTCGTGAAAAGTTTTCCCTTTTTTTCTTCTGCTTCTTTTTCAATTAATGAATGAGTTACGACGAATTTAATTGTGAATGGAATTTTCCTTTTGATATCGTTACGAGTAGATATATATATAAACTATCTAAAAAATTCTTTTAACTTTTATTATAATTTATTTTATATATAAATTTCAATAATCCTCCGACGACGACGACGACATTTTTGTTATAAAAAATTATTATTATTATTATTATTATTATAACTCGCGGGGAAAATTATTTTATTTAAAAAAGAAAAAAAAAATTCGTTCCACTTGATTGTATCGAAAGAATCAGAGCAATTCCAGAAGCCTCAATAAACTTCTGTAATGAATGAATGAATGAATGAATGAATGAACGAATCATATTATTATTATTTTTTAATATTTTTTTTTTTTTTTTAAAGAAGTCAAATTTACTTTTTCTAAAAAAAAAAAAAAATGTATAAGTCGATTGATTTATAAAGTTTTGCGGTCTATGGTTTGACTAAACAGTAGCAATATGAAAACGAAATAATATTGGTAGCTAGTTTTTTTCTTTTTCTTTCTTTCTTTCTTTCTCACGAGATACCTTAACTCGGTCACGTAAAAGTAACAAAAAAAAAAAAAAAAAAAATTTTTTTTATTTGGTTCCGCCATTTTGCCTCATCTACTACTACTGACTGTCATTACCTCGAATAGCGTTTTCGTCACGTACCGTTCAAATATACATTTCTGTACATTTTTTTTTTGTTTGTTTCCTGGGCAATCCCAACAAACAACATTAATTTTTTTTTTTTTTTTAATTCAACATTGAAAATATCGAAAATTATATGTTACCACGCGGATAATGTGAGAATAAATGGGTAAATTTTTTTTTTTTTTTTTTTTTAAAAAGATTTTATTGCACGAATGATGATGATGATGATGATAGAAAATTAAAGGTAAATAAACCTTTTTTTTTTTTATAAGAGAGGTAGAAGTTTCCCCTCTTCCCGCCCCCCGAGTTGTTTATTAGAAAAAATATATTTTATATCATATTGGTTTCTGTACAAGTTTTAACTGAAAAATTATTTTTATTTTTTCTCTCTCTTTCTATTTATTCCTCCCGTTTTTACTCCTGAAAATTACCTTATAAATTATTACCCGGAGGGAGGGAGAGTGAGGGTAGGGTAGGAGGGAGAAGGGAGGAGAGAAAAAGAAATTATTTTTCATTCGGTCTTTCTTTAAACTTTAAATAATAATAATTATGCACAGGCGTTTAGATTATTAAAAAAAATAAAAGGGGGTGGAGGGGGGTGGTTGTGGAGGTGGTGCTATTAATATAAGTCAAATAATAAAAAGGTTTAATTAATGAAATCTTTTAAGGTGAACGTATTTGAAATAAAGGTTAATTGAAGTGTGAATTGTGTATTGTGTTGCTCCTGAAAAAAATATATATATATATTTAATATGAAAAATGTTTTTGTCATCACTTCCATCATTACACTTAATTCTTTTCAAATCAATTCGTGTTTTTTTTTTCTGTTAAAACAAGTTCGACTCTATCGTTTTAAGAGCCAAAAATAAAAAAAAACCACATATTTACATATAATATTGAAAAATAAGATTAGATTCAAGGACGGTTCTCTCTCTCTCTTTCATCCACGCGCACGTACATACACATTTATATATATATATATATATATTGTTTTCTCATGGGAATAATAATAATAAGTTCCGGAAAGGTTGATCGAATCATGTGAGAGAGAGAGAGAGCCTTCTAAAAAAAAAAAATTTTTTTATCATGGGTTTTTTAGCCAACATTTATCAGTTTCCTTTTGCGTGATAACGTTTAACCGTGGTTTCCCATCGAAAATTATTTTACACGTTTTCGAGATAACAGGGAGGGGGGACCTCCAAAAAATTTATTTATTTATTTATAAGTTAATTAATTAGAATTTAAAAAAAAATATATTTATATTGATTGATTGACTTACTTGTTTTTGATCTCGGTTCTCTTGGACCATCGACGGTGACTTTAATTGCTTTTGTATAGGTGGTAACTTGAGGAGGAGAACTGCTTATCGTTATTGTTATTGTAAAACTTTTCCCTGTTGAAAAAAAAAAAATTAAAATTAATCGATATCGATCGATCGATAATTATTTATTTATTATGTTGGTAAAATGTCGCGTCGTGTATTCGCGCCCAAACTAAAAAATAATAATAATTTTTTTATGAGAATAACACAAACAATATCAACAAATCAATCCCCAAGATATATATGCCAAAAAATAGAAAACTATTTCCGGCGAATAATTTTTTGATTTTATGGTTTTTTGAACATCATTTTCCGGGGGCGCGGGGGAGGGGAGGGTATGAGGAAACGAACGTACGAACGGGGGAAGGAGAAGGGAGTGAGTGAATGTATTTTCTCGTGGGAAAAAAAAAAATTTCAGGTGAAACTAAACAAAAACCATTTGAAAAATAATCAAAATTTTGTTTTTTTTTTTTTTTTTTTTTCGGGAAATGAAATCAAATTATAATGATACAAAATTTATCCTATTAAAAAAATTTTTTTTTTTTAAATTGATCAAAAAAGGAACGGAAAAATGACAAAAGCACCTGGTAATTAAATATATTTATTGAGGGACAAACTGCGGGTTTAATATTACGCAGCACATACACACACACACACGTTTATTGCACACGCACGAGAGAAAAAATTACGCAAAATTTTAAATTACGCAATTCGTGAATTTTTTTTTTATTTTATTTTTCAATCACTGAATGAATGTTAATAACGATTACGAATTAAATCAACGTCACATTCACGTTATGTTAAAAATTCTTTTTTTTTTTTTGTCCTTTAACGATTTATATTTATATATAAATTTAATATTTTAAATGAAATTTGATTTTGTCATTTTGTAAATTTTTGAAGTTAATTTTCACCCCACCCCCCGCCTCTCCCATCAACTTTCCCGCTTTCCTCTTTCCCTCCCTTTATTATTTTCCCCCTTTCTCATCCCCTTTTTTTTTGCCGAAAATACAGACAGAACCGCGCGGTTCATAAATCAACACTAAAAATAGGGGTTTTAAATATAGAAAATTTTATATGTTGGAAAAACAATGGAAAATGGTCACGAGATTTTCTAATTATTTCTCATTAGAGGGGGAGGGGGGTTGATGGTGCATTTACCGGCGCTATTGATTTCCCAACAACATCCTCTAACTCTCCCCCATCGTACAACGGACCCCAAAGGGTCATTATTTTATACTTTTTTTTTTTTCATAAAATGCATCTCGTTTCATTTTTCTACGCTTTTAAACAAATAAAAATAATTTATTAATATATTAATTAATTTTTATCGGTCGCGATTACATGAATTTTAATAAATGATGACGTCATTTTTTTAAAATAATTTTTAATAAATTTAAATTATTTTTAATAATCAATAAAAAAAAAAAAAAATTAGTTTTTTTAAAAAACATTTGCCACATATTCGTTAGCATGTTTATTTTTTAATTCTTCAAAAAAGTTTTTTAGATAAATATAAAATAATAATAATAATAATAAAAAGTGACATTTTTCCATGTAATTTTTCCAGGGAGTGATTTTATTTTAATTTTGTAATTTAAATCTTTACTCGTCTCTTGTAAAAATTGATATTTAACATAAAAATAATATCGTATCACAAAATAGAATCGTGTTACCTTTAAAAAAAAAAAGGGAAATGTATGCTTTTCTCAGGATCCAAAAAGTTATTTATTATTATTATTATTATTTTTTTAAACAAAAGTACTAATAAGAAAAATATTTAATTGTTTAAATAAATTTACAAAATTTACTTGATAAAATATTTTAATAAATGTTCAGGGGGGAATTTTGGATAAAAAAAATTAATTTTTATTGTAAAAAAAACTTTAAAAAATTTCCTCTCTTATACGGCTTCATTAAAAAAAGAAAATCAACAACCGGAAATGAATGATATAATTTTTGGGAAATAGGTAAAAAAAAAAAAAAAATAACATAAAATGTGAATATTGATATTATCCATTTTTTTTCGTTAAACCCATCATAAAAGATTAAAAGTGATGATGATTTAAATTTTAATAGTTCCAGACGAAAGAAACAAAACGATTCTGGAAGGTATAAGAAGAAAACTGTTCAACCGTAAATTATCCAAAATTTAAAAGCTTTAAAATAGAACGATCACAATTATTATTATTATTTTTCAAATAATATTGGAACCCATTCTTTTTTTTTTTTAAATCAAATATTAAATAACATATTTTTTTTAAAAATATTATTATTATTATATTTAAACATAACGTGTGTGTGACATAGTGACGTGTGCATATTATTATTATTATTATTCCCCAGAAACTTATTCGTTACCGGAAATTGATTGGAAAACGTATCGATATTTAATTTTTAATTAACGAATAAATAAATAAATAAATTACGTCGGAATAATAATTAAATAGTATTATTATGATTTTGGTTGGGTTCGTGTCGTACCTTAAAAACAATCCACAAGATGCATTTTTATTATTATTTTTTTTTTTTTACTGAACAAAAATGGATGGAAGGAATTGATTTTTTTTTTTGTTCTGTACAAAAACTGCAATTTTCTAAAATGGCCTTGTGCATTAAATCGTGACTGCCACGTGATTAGGCTACTCATCGTTTACTTAGTTTTTTCTGGTACGTAATATTAAAAATTGATGTTTAGGAAATAAGTAGTAGCCAAAGAGAGAGAGAGAGAGAGAGAGAGGGGGTGCGTTAGTAAATAAAATATTTACCTCTTCCGCTTCTTCCAACAAATCTCAAATCGTTAAATTTTGCAATTTGATTTTTCATAACCGCCGTACAATTTCTCAGTTCCGCACAACAATTTTCGTCATTTCCGGCTCTCACAGTCACAATTGTACCATCCATAACGTCTCCCAAAGCGACGACTTTAAACGCGATGGGTAATGTCTTATTAGAACGCCAATGGGTGGGCAAAACAGAACACAAAAAATAAGGGCTTCCCGTTCTCACTAATTCTCCCGGATGTTCCGCTTGTATTTCGTGAAGAATTCTTTCTGTCCACCAAAGATCTCCATTTGCGGATGTATTATCACCGCCGGTCTGGTCGGCGGCCATTTTCCGGCGGCGTTTACCAGTGGATATTGACGTTGCTGGTGCCGGCAGATGCATCGAAGGTTTATGTACTTTTGTTTTTCTTATCTCACCCTGTTTTTCCTTTATTTATTTATTTATTTTTTACCTTAATAACTTTTTTTATTTTTATAGAATAATTTTAAATCATTAACATATTATTATTATTATTATTATTCACATTATTTTATAAACTTTTTCCAAGTAATCAATCAAAACCGGAAAACGCGAGTTTTTTTTCTCACACAATTATATTAATAATTATTTGAAAACATATTTTTATAAAATAAATAATAATAATGATTATAATTAAATTGTTTCGTAATCATTTAAATATTTTTGTTGAAATCCTCTTCTATCACACACATGGTTTTTGTTTTTTTGTTCAGTAAAAAAAAGTTACAAAACTTTTTTTTGTACCCGATGAGTAAGTTTGAAATTTGTTCTGAGAAATGAGGGAAATCACGGAAATTATAAAAAATGAGTCCGAAATATAAATTCCGATTTTTTTTTTTTTCCTTTTCCGGTAATTAAAATTTTTTAAAAAAAACGTCACGCGATATGGCGCCAAAACAGTTTCCGATACTCGCACTTTTTACACTCTTATTAATAATATATTTTTTTTCTAACGGTCGCACAAAATTTAAAAAAAAGAAAATGTCCGTCGGGTTAACAAAGTTTTTTTTTTTTTTTTTTTTTTTTACATTCGTATTTAAAATGTATTCAAAAAAATTCTATATAATCAATCACTTTTTTTTTTAATAATCCGATATTTTTATATACGAGACGTAACAAGTGACGATATAATGTTGATGATGATGATGATGATGATGATGACGCGCGCAATACGAAGAAAGATAGACGCGGTCGCCACCGATAACCTCGGAGGGCCACAACCCGCTCTGGCTTCCCACCCGACTCGCGATCAACTACTAATGTCTCAATGAGGAGGAGGCTGGCCTGGCCGTACGTCAGCCGCCGCCGTCGTCGTTCCTCGTCGCGCTGCTTTTTGGTTGTTTTTAAACTATTTCTCTGTGATCATCATCATCATCATCATCATTATTGTTATTTAGGTAAAAGTAAAGCTTTCCCCCTTCTCCCTCCCCTCCCCTTTAAACCATTAATTATTAATATTGTTGAATTTTTCTTTCTTTCTTTTCTCCCCATAATTTAGTAATAAAATTTTTTTTCACGGGAAATTGTTTATTAATAATAATAATTATTATTGTTGTTGTTTTATTTAAATATTATTATTATTATTATTAATTAAATAAATTTTTGTTCATTGAGTAAAAATTTAAAAATCATTTTAAGGTACGTAAAATTTTTTTTTTTGTTAAAAGATTTTGTTTTGTATATAGGTTTGCATTATCATCGTGTACCTGTTATGTTCATTCAGGCGGAGTCAAAGGCGGTACCAAAGGTACAAAACCATTTTCTCACCTGAAACTAGGTTGTTGTAAGAAATAGAAAAACAGACTAGATTTGCGGTTTTCCTACAAGTTGTTGTTTCTTTTTTTCAACCTCAAACGCTGAAATTTTCAATGTTTAAAAAAATGAAAAGAAAAGTGGGGAGAAAGATCAGACAATACTTACCTTACCGAAAAAAAAAATTTAATAATAAAATTTGCAACTGGTTTTTCTTTAATTGTTGTTATGTATTTCCCCTCCCCCCACTTCTATTCCTTGCAAATAAAATTAATAATTAAAATTTTTGTAAAATGTTTTTTTGTTTAAAGTTTAGTTAATAAAAAAAAACCATTTAATATCACATTAACAATTAGTCTTTAAATATTATTATTATTATTATTATTAAAAAAGTAATTATTCAAGTTTCAAACGGCTCATCTGAATTGCAAAATAACTTTTTTATTATCACGTGACCCCATTTTGTTGTTTAAATAAAAAAAAAAAAATTTTCCATTATAAAGCTTATTATAGAGGATTCACCGCAGATCTGCAAAAGCTCTGCAAAAAGGTAATTTCTATCCTGTCATTTTTTTTTTGGGGGGGGGGGAAAGGGGATAGAGGGAGAGGTAGGTTTTCCCTTTCCTGTGGGAACAAAATCGTCTCTCTTGGCGAGGTTTTTACGAGGAAGATTTATTCTCGCGTCAATGGTAAAAACTCATGATTGCAATTTTAACTGGTGCAGTTCGAACGAGCGAAAAAAAAAAAAAAAAAAAAAAATGAAAATGAAATTCATGGAAAGCTTATAAAGCTTTTAGTTTTTTTATTTGAAAAACACGAATTGTCAGGAAGTCAGAATATGACCGCAAAGTTAATGGTATCCGGAATATTAGAGCACAAAATCAAAAACAATAAATCGAAAATCTCTGAACCCATTACCATCGCCATTTTACCTTTTTTTTTTTTTTTTTTAGTTTTATCGCTTTCAATATTATTATTTGACGTTTGATTTTAAAATTTTGATTGGTTTTGTACTAAAATGTTAATTATCATAATTATAATTTAACTATTGATCAATATATTTAAACAATTTTATTTAAATAAAAGTTCAGAAGAAAATAAAATGTTCAGTAGTTAGTTTCAATCTCGACACGGACTTTGCACATAATCAAATCTTTTTTTTACAATTCCAGTTCAATTTTCATTAAAAAAAAAAAATTAGTTCAACGATTAGTCGATCCAATATATTTATTTTAATGTGAAACCTAAACGAGTCGTAAATAAAAAACCTGAAACCTAAAATTCGTATAAGGGATTTTGTCGCTTCTTAGAAATATAAGATCGTAAACCTGGAAAAAACCTTCAAGCACAACATTAATGATTCTCTTGTAAAAAAAAAACAACTTTTTTTTTTTTTTAATCCTTTGTTGTTTGTTGTTGTTGTTGTCTTGATAGACAAACAAAATATAATTGAACAAAAATTTTAACCAAAATAACATTATTATTATTATTATTATTATTATTATTATTATTATTAAAAGAGCACGAACGTTTTATAATTATTTTATTTATTAAAAGTTATCATCACGATTTTGAGATTTGTTTATAATCCTCGTGATAAGCAGTAAAAACAAAAACAAAATAAAAATAATAATAATAATTAAAAACAATTTTCTTTCTTTCTCTATTGGAAAATTTTTCCCCGTAATAATAATAATAATAATAATTTTTCTACTAAACATGAAAAAGTAAAAAACTTAATAATAATAAATGATAAAGGTTTTAAAATAAATCCTGTCAAAGGTTGAAGAAGGCAGAGACACTCAAAAGAAGGCTGGGCAAACTCAGAAGAGTAAATAAAGAACCTATGGGGGGATTACCTTTGATTTTTTACCTTTGTTTATTATATAAAATAAGAAAAACGCAAAACATTTTGTGGTTTTTTTTTTTTTAAATATAAAAGTACAAACGTTTTTTTTTTTTTTTTTTTATATTCAAGATGAATTTTCTTTTTTGTATTTTCCAATTGTGCTTATTATCCTTCTTTTTTCTCCCCCTCTCCTCTCCTTCCTCCCCCTTTTTTTATATACTTTTTACTTACCTGTTATACGTGTCCTATTAATTATTTTCCGGATATTAAAGTAATAAAGGAGTAAATGAATGGGGAGGGGGTAAAGGTTTATTATTTATCTATTAATAATAAAAAAATCAATTACATAAATATACATATATATTAATAAATTTTAAAAATTTACAATAAATAAATAAATAAAAAGCAGAAGAAACGTGAAAATTTCAGGTAAAACAAAATTTTTTTTTTTTAATAAGAAAATTTAGTTTTAATAAAATGTTAATACTTTTTTAATAAGACCGAGTTTTTCCTTTTTAAAAAAAAAAAAAAAATGATGATGATGATGATGATGATGGGAGAAAATGAAAAGGGCAAATTCCCAAGTTGGGACTTTTTAATGAACTTTTAAGCCGATTAACTCAAGTATGGACATGAGTTTGTCCTTTTAATGAAGCCCCTGAAGCCTCTTGTCTCGGGTTTTTTAAACCTTTTTTCGCTCCCGACTCTCTTGACTTTCCTTCCACTGGATTACCTTCCTTATCGTTTTTTCGTTTTTTTTTAAATATTAAATTAAAAAAATTTTTTTTTTCTAAGGTGATTTTTAATTCGTGAAATTTAAAAATTAACAAAAAAAAAATTAATTCCCATAAAAATATCGAACTATATTGATTGATTGATTGGAAAAAAAATTTTATGATCAGCTTATATGACCCGGATGAAAACTGTTTCCGTTACCCTTTTGGCGGGATAATATTTGAATTTTTTTCCATGAGTAAAAAAATTAAGAAAAAATTTATTATAAAATAACCATAAAATTATAAATAATTATTTAATTATCCTCGTGTATAACTTGCTTTTTACTCATTTTGCGGATTCACTCATTGCGGATTTTTCCTTTTGCGGGTTTCCATTCCGAACCCCGATTTCACATGCCCCATATAATTGATGGAGTGAAAAAAAAAAAAAATTATCCGTTCGTGAAATATGTCCAACCAACAATAACAACAACAACAACAACAAAAACGACAACAAAAACAACAACTTTAACCACGTTAAATATCATAGTTATTACTTTTTCCGATAGATGGCAGCACCTCTCTGCGCAGTGACGTGTTTTACTTTATCATTGTTTTCATTGTGTTAGTTTAGTTTGTGACTCAGAGGTGGGAGTGTCGTCACATTTGCACTGATTTGTTTTTTTTTTTTTTTCGTTTAAAATTTAAATGGAAAATAATCACGTGTGATAAGTAAGTACATTTAATCATTTTATTTTATTTTTTTTATTTTTAACTACAATTTATACGGATTTAAATTATTATTATTATTATTATTATTATTACATCCACGTCGATAAATTTTACATTTAAATAAATAATAATGGCCGTTATATAGAGTTTGCATTAAATTTTTTTTTTTTCGTTTCGTATTTAAAAACATATTATCGTATATATAAATAAAAATTTGAGATAAGTTGAATTTATGCAATACCTCCCCCTCCCCCCACTCC